GTCGAATTAGATTTTGTCGCATGTTAAACAGTTTTTTTAAGATTAAGAAAAACTAATAATTTCAATACATGTGATAAAATTTAATTGTAAATCAAATAACAAAAACATAATAAATTAATAAATCAGTGGTTTTGCAATAACATTCTTACTTTGTTTTGATTTATGTTAACGTGTGATCTAATTTTGTTCATCATAGTTAAATATTTTATTTTCTACAGATTTATAAAAAATTAAATCACAAACCCGCACATATGCGGATCCTTCATCTATATTATGATAATATCCAAAGTTCCGTTTTATTTCACTTTCGATCCTTCAACTTTCACACTTTATAATATTTCCCTAACTTCTGAATTTCTCAAACAGACCCTGAAATAAGGCAAATTATAAAATTAGGATCTTACTTCCGAATTTAAAAAAGAAAAGGAAGATTTCCATATATTTCTTGTTATTCTTATCCAGTTTTCCTTTCCTAATTTAGAACGGTTTGGTTTAGGACTCTAACCTCTCTATATATATTGTGATTACTTCTACCATTCGTGATCAATGCATTCATGAAACCCTATCAATCAAATCTCAAGTGTTTTCTGAAATAAGATTAACAGTGAGATTTTTTCTCGAAGAAGAGAGCAAATATGACAACTCTTGAAGATTTTTTCCTCTCAGACCTTGATCACTTGTCTGAATTCGAAACAGAAACAGTAAAGAATGATGCTCAAAAGGAAAAAGAAGTAGAAGAGATTATTGTTAACTACAATGATCTTTCAAATCCCCAGAAAACTCAGAGATTCGTTGACATTATGCAGAAAGTGGAAGAGGTTTTAGATTCTGAATACAAGCTAATCCTAGACTGTAATAAGCTCTTAGTCGAAATCGACAAGGAAATTGTCATGATCCACACCTTTATCCGTCAAAATTATAGACTCAAGTTTCCCGATTTAGAGTTTCTTGTAACTCACGCAATCGATTATGCTCGTGTTGTTAAAAGAATCGGTAATGAGATGGATTTAACCCTCATTGATCTAGAAGGTCTTCTTCCTGTAGGTATTATCTTAGCTGTCCAGATTATGGCTCCAATAAAAACTGCAAAGCCACTTTCAAAAGATGTTCTTGAGAAGACAATAGATGCTTGTAACCGAGCTCTTGATCTTGATTTTTTTTAAGAAGAATCTCAAGGACTTTCTTGAGGCTAAAACGAGATCCGTCGCGCCGAATCTGTCTGCAATTGTCGGGAGTAAAGTTGCAGCCAAGCTTATTGTAAGTGCTGGAGGTTTATCAGCAGTTGCTAATATGCCTTCTACTTGTAATGTTCAACAACTTGTTGGTCACAAGAGGAAGAAGGAATTTGTTGAGTCTCTTGACGGTTATCTAGAGGAGACAGAGATTGTCCGAAACAGGCCTTTTGAGTTTCGGTCTGATGCTTGTGAGCTCTTGGCTGAAAAACTGAATTTAGCAGCAAGAATTGACTTCACTAGAGGAGACTCTTCAGGGGGAAAAGGTAAAGCTTTTAGAGACGAGATTCTTGAGGAGATTGGTAATTGGCAAGAACCTAAGCGTAATTGTGAAGAGGGCTCTGAAGATGAAGGATATGAAACCGAGTTGCCCCGTCCTTGGACGGTAGAATTTGGCTTAGAGTACTCCTTCTGTGAGTTTGGGTCATTCTCCAAAAGACAAAGAAGATTTGATTGGGATTAAGACGAGTTTTCGAAGTTTCGAAAGCTGAATATTCTCTCAGCCTCATCTAGAGCAAAGATGATCATGTAAGCGTTTTACTTTTGGGTGTTCAAGTTTCTATTCGTTTATGCAATAAACATTTTAAGGTTTTTGATCATACAATAGTCTTTTCTTGTATTATTTAGCGACTAACCTTGTATTGACACAAAAGACCAAACCAGACCTGCACCTAAAAAATCAAGGCAATGTATATTGATACAAGTTGTGACGTACAATGACAAAATCAACCAAAGTATGTGAGTCATTTGGAATATTGTTGATTATGATCATTGCTAACTTAATATTATTAGTCTAAGATAAGATCTAACTTCTCTTTCTCTACTTCTCTGCACAACACGTCTGTTTAGGCAATGAGGATTTGCTAAAGTCTGCTTTCTTTCTTCTGTCTTTAAAAGCTTCACAAATTAGTAGACCTGGTGAGGACTCTATAAAAGTAATTACGTATCTCTGGGATTGTTCGCTGCACCAGTTCGTTCGTCCTGCATTTTTACCGGCAAATGAACAAACAGTATATAAGTTAAACCGTAGATTTGATGCTTCAAGATGCAATGGAGACTAACTCTAGGTGAGTTTTAATTATAATTGTTAGATGTGGGAGAGAGTGAGACTATTGTTATTACCCGGGCTTCAAACTCAGTTTATCAAAGTGTTCCAGGATAAATAAGATACAAGTCTCCCTCAGCGACATTGCGTTCAATGCTTCTGAGAGTTCATAAATGTTCCCAATGTTTTCCACCGTTATATCCTTTCATTCAAAGATAAAAGTGTTAGTTGAGGCAAACTTTATACTCAATGAGAGAACATCACATTACTCCACTAACCAATCGTTTTGACTAACCTGACTAATAATGTATTCACAGAGTCGCTTGAGCCCTTCCAAGAGATACTGATCTGCTGCTCTTAATAGATCTTGTGCAATCTCTATTGTTACACTAACTGAGCCAGTGTATATAAACCTGCCATTGTAATCCACATATAAGTCCAACTACAAGCACGAAGTATTGCCAGAGACAAGAAGCTTTAGACAAGCCCAATCATACCTCATCATTAACTCAAAAACTTCCCATCGAATATTTGGAATCTCGATATCTCTTGCGGTGTTTTCCTGCAGTATTATTCAACACAACCCGAATGAGACATTCTAACTCTAATTTTAACAAGATACAGATTTTCACAAGGATTTTTTTTTTTTTCATTTCCGCCGCAATCACTAGCCAAGTAAGAGAATATCATTACAAACTGTTCAAGAAATCATGCGGAAAGAAGTAAGATGAAAGCACAAAAACTCATCCCTTCATTAGCACAACAAACAGCCAATTCAATGCTTGACATATTCAGTGAAAATGTGTAAAAGGATCCTCAGGACTGTCCAGGAAAAGAAATTTAGAAGCACACTTACTCGGTAGCCTCCATCAAACATTGCACGAAATGCATCTGAAGACGCTAGCAGACAAATTCTGTGAGCATAGAATCTCCTGCCTGCAGTATTATAAATTCCACATTTTACTTATACATTTTGGAGCCAACAAAACTGCTGCAATAACAGAATTCAATGAATACCTTCAACTACAAAGGTTACATCTGACAACGTAGCATTATTTACATATTGCTCTCCAAGATATATCTGCGACAAAAAAAAAAAATACTGCATTGAGACTTCACTTGTTTTGGAGAGAATATTGGAAGAACTGACACAAGAAAGAAACTCACCATTTGTGTTGGAGATGGAGGAGCAGTATCGACTGGAGAAAGCGCCATGGATTTATTTGCTAATTTTTGTAGCGCTACAGCACCACCAAGTTGCTGCTTAGCGTTTGTAGAACCAAGAAGTTCAAGAAGCAACTCCAATCCTGTCAGAAAAGATTACTCAAATGTAAACCTTCATGCACCAAGAACATCCAAACTTTACTGCAAGCACCTTAAACTGATGGATAGAAGATCCCGAAAACACACTATTTGGTAGCAAAAGAAAATTCAGAAAAGTTATAGCATACCATTGCCATTGCCATCAACAAATATGGTTTGCTGATCCTCCGGGGAACAAAGAAGAGCAAGAGCAAGAGCAACTCGTGTTTGGATAAGCTTGTCAGAAAGGCGCATCAGGGACAACAACTGTTTTAAAACCTACGGAAAAACGAAGATATTGAAAGATGTCAAAGGTTGAATACAGATTTGCTTTAGAAATAACAGTTACAGAAATTTGCTACAAATAACTTAATCTGTAATTTTATCACCAGGAAGCTCAAAATATATTTGAAACATGCAAATTTGTACTCACTCTTCCATGAATCTTTTCCTCCAATCTTTTTAATGTTTTGAAAACACAATCTTTAGTTGCCTACAATAGCAGAGGAAAATTATAAACATCCAAGAGAAGGGTCTACGGTAAATCGACTTGAATATGTAGATATGCTTGTGTAAAGTAGCATCAGGAAGTAGAGAAAAGGTAACAAGGCCAACATACCTGAATAATAAACTTTCCATCTAGAAGCTTCTGGACACCTCCCACCTTGATAAAATCGGACACATTATCCTAGAGGGAAAAGGTGGATCAATAAAGCGTTTTTATGAGTTCTATTGTCAATATCTTGAATCCTGATAGAGAAAACATGCAGAGTCTAACATACAACTTACCTCATTATCAGCAAGACCATAAAGAGCAAATGCAGCATTGTATTGCAGAGATCTATTTCCTGGATCAAGAAGCTTCAATAAAGGTCCTAAACCACCACTCTGGGCAATGCCAGCTTGATTGTGGGAATCCTACAGAAATTAAAATTCATTTTTGTTTTGATATTGAGTATTGCTAAAACACCAACTTCCAGACAAGGGCAACCAGAATCCTAGGCATCTGTGGGTTTGAAAGCAAACAAATCTAGAGACAACAGAAGTACTTAATCAGATAACAGCACACAACCAGGGAATCAAAGGATACACTGATACAGGATAACTATTTATTATCTAAGAGACTAAGAAACTAGAGCAAAAAATATTAATATGATCATGATATAAAATATTCTAGGGACCCAATATTCTATCTAGAAGTAAAAAGAGACAAATAGCTAAACTGTGAGATTGCAGTTTCCAATCTTCAAAAAAGAAATCCTCAAATCATAAGAATCGTAAGAATCAACCAACAAATATCTGAAATAATAACCATTGCCAGTCTCCCTAACGCGAAGGATGACATTTCCTTCAACTTAGCTTCAGGTGACTGAAGCATCTCGATCAAAGGACATACAGCCCCCCTTTGCACTATGTGTGCCTGCAAAATTATCACATGTAAATCATATGGAAAATATTGGTTAAGTGGGATTGGGAATGTATGTTGTACAGATGAACAGAAGCAAACAACTTATCCCCGTAACATGGACAGAATGTGATATTAATTGTTTTAGTATGACTAGTAGGCCAGACCACGACTACAATCAAACTACAAAAATCCAAGAAGTGAGAAAATAAAACCAGAGAGGAAATGGCACCTTGCAATCAGAATCAGTAGCAGCAAATTGGCCAAGTAATAAAGCTGCCTCTCTTTGGCTCTCAGGGCAACAAGAGCTAGAAAAAGACATCATACAACCACAACAAACGCGAGGATAACAGTGTTGAAGCATAATAGCAGCTTAACAAAAGAAAAGCATCAACGAATTACATTAACTGCAGCTTTGTTGAAACCATACTTTATGTTTGACCTTGTATATCAAAACGGCAAGTTGTCACATACCTGAGAAGACTGATTACAGGCTGTAAAGCCCCGGCATCAAGGACCTTCTTTTTAATGTTCAGAGACGAGTGTACTAGATTGCCAATAACACCAACCTGAAAACTCAACCGAACTGGTTAAGTTGATGCCAATTCCAGAAACTAGATAAAGTCACAAAATAATGGATCCCATATGAATCTTACCGCTTCATAATGTATTGCAGCATCCTCTGATCCTAGCATTAAGATGAGCGTTGGAAGAGCATTACAGTCAACTATCTGAAAGAAACGAATTGTTATCATGCTCCATCCAAAAACTTAAGTAAAAGCTGTAGGAAACAAACTAGCAAATATATACTTGGTTCTTGTTATCATCATTTCTAAACGCAAGGGTTCTTAATGCCCCTGCTGCTGCTCGTTGAACTTTTGCATTGTCAAACTCAAGCAACTCCACAAGAGGTGGAATACCACCTTCTAACCTGTTCATCCAATAGCTAACAGTCATGAGAGTGGTTGTAGACTAAATGCCAAAACTTAAAAGGAGGAAACCACTTACAATATACTAACCTAACAAGGGTCTTGATACTGTTATTCTCATGAGCAAGACTGATAATGGTCTCAGCAGCCCTTCTGATAACGGCTCGAGAACGAGAACCACATTTGTTTCTCTTCAATAGATTCACAAGATGGGTCAATGCACCATTGTCTACTATCAGCTTCTGATGCTCTGACTGTAACCAGCCAATTCCAAAATAAGATATCACTATATCACACAAATGCGTCTAGATTCCAAAAGAGATTAGGAATCAAATACCTTGGTTGCGAGAAAACTAAGAGCAAACGCACTTCCCTTCTCGACCTCGTGTTCGAGCGGCGTTTGAGCCTTATCCCCATCGCCGTACGGTGGAGCCTGTAGATGCTTAACGAGAACTGGAATTGCTCCTCCCTTGATAATCGCGTCCACAAAATCCTCTGATGAACACAAACGATTTCACTCACTGGAAATTAGTAAAAGAGTAAGAAATCGCTAGAAATTAGTAAATGTCAGGGATGATCGATCTTCTTCACCGTTTCTGGCGAGCTCGGAGAGGATTTGAGTGGCGCGTTTTGCGGCGGCTCGATCGGATTCTTTCCAGGAGAAAGTGGAGTTGAGTAAGGAAACTTGATCGGCGATTACTCTGAGTAACGCGTCGGTGGAGATCTCTCGGTCATCTCCTTCTTCCAGTTTTCTCTTCTTCTGTCCCTTGAGCTCCGGGAAGCTCCGATCGTCTAGATTCTCCGGTTGTTTCTCCATTGTTCACAAAGGAAGCAGCGATTTCAAATTTTCAAAAACAAAGCAGAGTGAGAGAGATATCTGAGAGGTGTTTTGGGTTTTTTTCTCATTATTTCCCCATTAATAAATGAGTTCAGTATTTTGACCAAAAATATATATTCAACGTTCTCTTTTTGTTATGGGCCAGGCCTTCCATAACTAAATTCAACTGTTGACCAAAATAATTAAATAAATCCACCTTTGGGGAAATTCATAGATAATCCTATGGTGTAGCTGGATTTAGCACTAAACCAGAACCTATAAAATCAGTGACACCTTCCTCCATCCTCATTCTCATTTCAATTTTATTACTCAGCATGATGAATTATCAATAAAAATAATCGTTTTTTTTTTATCCCTATAATACCGAAACCTCCCAATTAAATTTTGAATGTGAATCTTGCATACACTGAATTATTTTTGGATTCGACTCTGGTTATACTAATAGTTTGTGTTTATTTTTAAAATAATCATTGTCATAGCATTCATTCACTATCCTTCTACCGCTCTGCTTATCGTCGATACCCAACAAAATTTCTAATTTCATTTGCTAATTACTCTTTTGTTTTCTCATATTCCTGAATGGAAAAAGGAAAGAATCACCGAATTTTATTTTATTTCTCTGTGGAATCCTCCTAACTAATTCAGAAGGAGAATTATGAAGCGATGCAGAGATGTGTTTGACCATGTCCAAGGAAGAGCCACGGGATAATAAAAGGAGGAAGGAGGAGGCATCTCTAGATTCGTTACCAGATTCGGTTGCTATAACTTGCTTTGCCGGCTTATCGAGATCGGCCTTATCTCTCGTTTCCAAGACCTGCCGGTCTCTGGTGGTTTTAACAGACGCGTTCGCTGATGGGTCTCACGGAGAAGCACCATTACATATGCTTAACCATGCCTCCCGACCCAACCCCACGCTGGTTCATCCTCTGGAACAAGCCAGCTCATGCGATCCCCTCGAACCCCTATCAGCAGCCGGAAGCATCGGCCGTTGTGGCGGTCGATTGTGGTATCTATGTTATAGGTGGATATATTAACGGCCTCTGCACGTCGGCTGTCTTTCTCTTCGATTCTCGGTCTCACAAGTGGCACCAAGTGACCTTCATGAGCGTGCCTCGTGCAGCTAGCGTGGTGGACGGCAAGATATACGTGTTTGGAGGCTGCAGGTACGACAAGATGAAGAATTGGGGAGAGGTGTTCGACCCAAAGACACAAACTTTGGGATGTCCTGCCAATGCTGGAGGATGAGGATCCGTGTACAGGCTATATACAATGTTTGATCCACCACAGTGTGGTGGTAGAGGATAAGGTTTACTTGGTGGATGCATGTAATAGAACTTTATTCTACTACTTTATCGAGCCAGTGTAAGTGGGGAAGAAGGAATCATCTTTCACGTAAAACAGTTAAAAGGGATTGGTGTGTGATCGATAACTTGTTATACAGTTTTTGTCATAACGGGAGAATCTATTGGTGTGAGCGAGAGCAGTTGGACCGGCGTGACGATGTGATGATGGATTGGAGAATGGTGGAAGGTTTTCAATTGCAACTTCTGCAGGAAGAATTCTGTGATTCGAGATTGGTCCACTACGGTGCGGGTATTGACAAGGAGGCAATGGAGTGGAAGTCCTTTATGGTTAGACAGAAAATTGATAAAACAATTGAAGAGTTGCTCCCCGGGGTTAGATTGACCAAGTTTGGTCGGAATATCCTCATTTTCTGGGACAGGCTCGTGGGTTGTCGTAACAAGAGCTTGGAGATTTGGTGTGCCGAGATCTCCTTGGAATGGACCAATNGTGGCGGTATTAGGGGAAATGTTGACTGGTCTAATGTTATTCTTACTTGCGATCCACTCAATCGCCCTAAACTCTTGTATTCTATCTATGTCGATGTTTGAATACACTTGGATTTTATATGTTCATACTTGTTTTCTCTTTTTGTTAATGGATTTTTTACACTGACATTGTTATCCCACTCTATTGTAGGTGCTTGACGAGAACTGGAACTGCTCCTCCCTCGACAGTCACGTCCACAAAATCCTTTAACAAATACGTAAGTTCTACGTTATGACCAAAACAAAATATACTCCATTTAACGTTTTCTTTTGTGAAGGGCCTTACCATGACTACTAATTCACATGTTGACCAAAGGAAATAAATTTTGGATTTGACTCCGGTTATCGAGTTTGTGTTTAATGCTTATTATCCCTAGCAAAATCTATGATTTCATTAAGTGGGGTTTATAATTTTAAACGAAAGTTTACTAAATAAATAATTGTTGAGACTTTTTGGACCGTTGTGGTCGGCCACAAAGTAGACGTGTGTATATGAGCTTTGATTGAATAATATACAAAGAGATACTCCACCATTGTTCTAATTTATTAATGAGAGCACATGAAATGACATCTTGTGAGGCACGAGCACACGCTTTGTATCCGAAGATTTTAATGCGAATTTGCATTGAAGAAGCAAATTAAAGTGAGGAAACATAATAATAAAAAACATTATCAAAAAAGAAATGAGGGAACGTAAGCTATAAAAAAGGCCTCCAAGAATATATTCAAGTTTAAAGTAGTAGTTTAGTTGAGTTAATAATGGAGTAAACTGGAATCCAAAATAGTAAGGGAGTAAGAGTATGTGTTGATAATGGTATAAAATTTTCAACATAATACCACAACAAATTTGTTCATGGATCATTGAGCATTATCCCATGCAAATGGAAATTACCAATAAAAATGGGGAATACATACTTAATTATCTCTTCAACCAAAATAGTGCAAGAAATTGAAAGATGAAAAAAATAGTAAAAGCTTTGATTGATCTTTTCAAACCACATCAAAATTTCAAAAGTGGCTTTTCAACTAACATTACCTAATCACAATACTAACTATATATTTCCTGGGCAGCACCAATTATTTAATTTAATTTGATGTGTTTTTAGCAAAAAAAAAACACACACACACACAAAAGTGTAGAGGACCGGGTCAAACCGTACCGGTTATATTCATAATTTCCCAATGTTCGACCTCAACAGAAATAACGGAATAAGATAATTATATAAAAAAAAAAAAAAAACGAAATTCCCTTTAATTACAAAAATAAACA